ACAACTTTAAAACTTCTTTTATATGACCTTAGAAGAATAAGATTATCTCAACTAGCATCTGATGCTTACAATCTATGTTATACTGTATTATCTCGTGCTGTCATCTTAAGAAGGGTTAATTGTAGATAGACCTTGTACTATATCCCAATTGGGGATAGAACTGCGGGAGTTTTATTGTTTCAGATAGACTCTCGGTTGAATGTTTTTTACCCTTTTACGCTATGTGCAAGGGAATTTTTTTTTGAGTAGTAGATTTCCTAGGCGAAAATTTTCAATCAAGGGTCTATCTGCAAGAATAGAACTGCATTGCAGTTGGGTGATAGTCAAGGGGGTCTATCTGCGCTTAACCCTTTTGAGAAAACCAATTCTTAACATGTTAGTTTACCCTTCAGCCAGCATCTCTCCGGCACCGATATTCTAAAGCTAACCAGATAGCACCTACCTCTGCAGATCACTACATGGGATTTATCAGGAACAATTTTCTATTTTTCCTGGGCACAGGCTGCGGCATATACATTGCACAGAATTACAAGGTCCCAAACGTAAAGCAGGTCGCAAGCGCATGGCTTTTTAAGGCAAAGAAGATTGAAGAAACTTACAGGAAGCCGAAGAAGAAAGATGAAGACTAATTCTTCTTGAGTTTGCTTGGAATCACATTGAAAAACTAGAGAAGTGTAGTTCTTTTTTTTTTTTTGCTTAGGTACGCCCACAAGAATAAGCAACACTATAGTGAATACTGGACGTGTCAGTCTTTTTGTTCGCTTCTTTATTTGTAACAATGAACATTTATCTTATTACAATTTTTTGTTATTTCTTCCTCCTCCTCATTTTTGGTGTAGGCAAAGTACTGCTTCTGTGCATGCAAAAATTGACAGATTCTTTCTTCAGTACCGGGTTTACAAAGTATTATATTGCATTTGTATTTGAGTTTTGTAATATTAAACTGAGTTATTAATCGCAGCAAGTGTTCTGTTATAGGTACAGCATTATGTAAGTGATTTTTTTTCATTTATAATTGCAATATTAT